TTCCCCTATTTCTACGGGGTTTGGACTCAGTGGAGACCTTCAAAAAGCAGCTAAAGACATTTTTATTTCAAAAAGCTTTTAATTAGACCAGGGTTTTCATGGTGTATTTTATGACTGTATTATGTTTTTACCTTGTAAAGCACTTTGTGACATATGTCTGTGAAAGGTGCTATATAAATAAAGTTTACTACTACTACTTACTTTATCATAATTTATTATGAAATTATCATAATTTCCCTCGGGATTAATAAAGTATTCTGATTCTGATCCTGGCATCAATTCAACACCATTTTTAAGCAACTGTTGCATTTGTACTGCTGCAAATGTACTATAACCCTCGACTCTGTGCAATCATTAATAATGAAGTAAAAATAAATAAATAAATAACAACAATAATAATAATAGTAATAATAACAATAATAATAATAATAATAATAATAATAATAATGGAGTAACAATAAAATTAAGAAAATATTGAGGAAGTCTAGGATTTATGGGTTTGTGGGTTTAATTTAAAAAAAACAGGGCCTCAGGTCGAACTTCCTCCCAAGTCCAGGTCTGTAAAGCTAATTGTGTGTCAAATATGTTGCTTTCACATATAAACTAAAAACTCACCTGTCTCGTCCACGGTCCCTGTCTCTGTCTCCATAAGATGAACCCCCTCTCATTTTTTCCCGTTCTGTTGTGTTTGTTATGCTAGCTTTGACGTCGGAGAGTGGTTTGTTTTCGTTTCGCTCGGCGATTGGCGGCAAAATAAGCGCAATTTACGAGAACAACGACAAGAACGTCGCAACCTTCCGTTATTTTTCTATTAGACGATAATTACGCGTAAATATCGGGATTATTACACAATTATTGTGTACGTCACGTAGCTAAACGGCTAGCTCGCTCCTTTCCTCCCTGCCCTCTTTCCCGACGTGACTTCAGCTAGTAAGTTTACGTAGCCTCGTCTAAAACGAACCTTTACTACGTACGCATATTCACTAGCCGCAATGGTGAATATGATAAGTGTAAACAATGCGCTTTTTATCGCTGTGTGGTGTCAAAACCTTGGGCCCTATTTCACGGTGAAAAGGCAAAGTGAGATAGAGGGACCTTAAAATGATCTCCACAAAGAAGTTAAAAAAGCTCTATGTTGACACAAATCTCATACTTTTAACGAAGAACATAAGGAATCTCTAACTCAGCAGTAGGGGGCGCTAATGCTTCACCTGGAGCATCCGACTGTGAAGCGACGAAGAAAAGTCTTCCAGGAAGTTCAAGCAGATGGGTGGAACCAATGACTGTACTGAGTAATGACTTTAGCATGTGATATTTAAAGATAGTAATATGAAGTTTTTGCTCTTCGTGACAACCACTGTAAAGTTCACATAGCCTGAAGAAATGCCTTTGTTCATTCAAAATAAACCGCTTGACCGCATAAGATCGACAGCGGACCTGTTCGACAAAAATCCACATTTACAGGTTTGTTTTTGCAAAAGTGTGGCTGCTATAGTTAGCTCCTCCTTTTAATTTAATAGGAATTGTCTGTATATCGTTATGCTAACAAAATCGCAGTTGATAATTTAATAACATAGCAGATTTAACTGTCTCTAAAGTAACCAAGTAAGTGTCAGTGGTTGTAAATCTGTGCATGAAGCAAAAAACCAAACCTAATAAGTTACACAGGAATGATTTCTAGAACTGCACTACGACTACGTTTCAGGTACCTTAAATATAGATTTCGTTTATAGCTATAGATATCCAATGTGGACTAATAACGAACATGAAAAAGATCCAAACCCTCAATAACAGTAACATCCACATAAACAAATACTTTACACATAAATGTCGCTTTGCCAAATCCCAATTCCATCCCAAATCCTCGAGATGGGTAGGATACCTGTGCTTAGCTCAGAATAAGATTCATTCAAGCCTTCTTACTTTGTTCCTTTATTTTGATAATCTAGTCTTCAAATCTTCTTTAACTGTATGTCAGTTAGTTGTTTTTTGTTTTTGTTTTTTAGTAAGGGGAAGTTGAAAGATAAATAAAATAACAAGATAAATGAAAAAATAATATTCACTGCGTTTATTGCACTGGTCTCATTTCAGCTCAGTGAGAGAGTCTTCACTGCACCTTGCTTTTGTTTATGGTCACACTATTGTGTCTCTCAGTCATACTGTGAGAGTGGAGCAGACAGTGAGAGGAAAAGTGAAATAATATTAAGCTGCTGAAAATTGCAAATTGTTGCAGGAAGTGCAATAAAACTACCCAACTAAAGTTTCACCGAACATAACTACTAGTAACCCCCTGTAAACCTGCTGGCCCGCATCCCGTCGTCCCCAATAATTGATCCAGCTTTACAAGTCAGGATCAGAACAAATATCCGAGTCAAATACTAAATCAGTTTGTGTTGTTTTCTTTGTTTTATCACTTTGAACCATTTAACTATTTTGCTTTCATGTCACAGGAAAAGGCAAAAGCATTTCGGTCTAAGCCGCTTGTTGATGTTGATCCAAAGTGCCTCCTGTATGTCCATCAGAGGGAGTTTGCTGCAACAACACCAGCAGACAGTGAGTAAAACAAAATACTGGAAACAGATGACCTCATCGCAAGACTGTATACACACTGATACATAAGACTTTTATTATGTCTACACGTTACCCTCACACAGCTTTGATCTTTTAGGGCCCACATAACAGAGATGGGTGGAGATGCTGTTGAACCAGTTTTAGCTTGAAAACTCAAGGGTTATGTTTTGGGCTGGATAGGCAGACACAGAGGCTACTGAAAAAGAAGACATAGACATTTTCACTTCCCATTTTTGTCATATCAGTTACAAAAATGAAGCTAACTAAGCTCTCACACATTTTGTAATTTTACTCCGCTTGTGTCTGCACTTTACTTTAATTGCCAAAGCATTAAAGTGATGGATGGATAACGTGCCTGGTACCCACTCTAATATGTAGCAGTATGTGGAATAAATCCCAGTCTATGTTTTCTGCCTTATATTCATGAATTACTTTCAGTGACAGTTCCACCTCATCATCAAGCTAGGTAAAGAAATCTTTGGGGATACTTTTTGCCATTGCTGCTCAACCTCAAGTGTGAAAACTCTTGGCTCCATCATGTTGATTGGTTGCTTTAAAGGAAAAAAATATTTTCCCATGAAAAACTGAATGAATGCATCTCCTGCAGGCTGGTGTCACATCACAGCTTTAAGTCTGCATGCTTTTACTGATGCTGAACAACAAGTAAAACTTGTTGTTCTACAAGGCATTCAGCCAACAACAGAAACCTTAGCAGTGTGTGATGAAGTCTGACCACTGAATAGCTTTTGGATCAAGAATTATTCTAAGCATCACTCTGCTTTTATTCATTTATTTATTTATGGACTATTTGGTATAAAATTCAGCACTTCAGCACGTTTACTTGGTCTTCCAGATCATGTGCTGCACTGTAACAGTAACATGCTTTGTTGTCTTATTTTTAACAGAATGCGTTTCAGTCATTGGATCTGATGATGCCACAACCTGCCATTTGGTTGTGCTGCGGCACACTGGTGAGAAATCCTTTACCACATTTGGGGCGATCGTGGCTCAAGAGTTGGCAGTTCGTCTTGTAATCGGAAGGTTGCCGGTTTGAGCCCCGGCTCCAACAGTCTCGGTCGTTGTGTCCTTGGGCAAGACACCCCACCCGTCGCCTACTGATGGTGGTCAGAGGGCCCAGTGGCGCAGCCTCACCTCTGTCAGTGCGCCCCAGGGCAGCTATGGCTACAATGTAGCGGGCCATCACCAAAGTGGGAATGGAAGAATGACTGAATGTACTGTAAAGCGCTTTGGGGTCCTTAAGGACTAGTAAAGCGCTATACAAATATAGGCCATTTACCATTTGTGCTAAGGCATTATAAAAGGAAACTGTATTTTGAATTTGTGGTTAACAATTACGTTTCATTATTTCTTAGGAAGTGGAGCAGTTTGTCTAGGTCATTGTGACGCTTCCAGCACTTGGTCTGAAGTACCACTCCTCGTGAAAGCGGTGACATCACTGAGTGATGCTTGTAAGGAGGGCAGGTATGACACACACATAAAAAAGCAGTAAAATTCCAGATTATTCAACTAATTAATTAATTAATTTACATTTCTCCTCTCCTTTCCAATATGCAGACTTGAGCTCCATCTTGTCGGGGGATTCAATGACGACTCAAAAACATCCCATAACCTCAGCCTTGATATACTGGGTATAACCTTACAAATTTACTTCATGTTACACTGCAGTGTAACGCAGCAGCAGCGGACCTTGCATAACTTAAATGGCTTTTTATCACTTCACAGCAGCGTTCCAGGTACAGAAGGAGGATATTCATCTGGAAACATGCTGCATCACAGGTAACTTTGATGTTTGTTTTAACTGTTGAAGACTGTTTAGATACACCTGTCAAAACAAAACCTTTGCTCTAATCGTGCCTTCGATTCGCTGTTGTAGAAATGAACGATGTGGTTGTTAATGGAACTCACAGACCTGTAGTATATGGAATTGGTAAGTGATACCGTTACAGAACAGGATCCAGTGCTTTCGTGGTATTCAGCCTTTAATATGTTGTGACTTTGTTTCTGAACAGGTGTAGATGTTAAAACAGGGGACGTTTACCCCGCCTCCTTCCCTCATAAAGGCCCTGCGGAGGAGCTGCGATCAGCACGGACCTTCACGGGAGGAGAGGTGCTCTGCAAACATGACATGATGTGATTTTTTTGAGAGTAAAATGCATGTTTGGCTATACACAATTTTCAGTTGTCTACCTCATATTTAATCAATCTGTTAATTTTTAAAGAGATCCTCAGATTACATCATCACTGATTTTTTTTTCTGACTTCCAGTACTTACTGAAGTGACTTGAAAATGTTTTCACAAGTCTGTGTTTTAATGGATAACAGATCTGGGATCTTGAAATTGTTGTTATTTTTATGTTTAGTTTTTGTTTTTTGCTGGCAAAAAACTAAAACATACCAATTAAAATAATCATCCCTTGCAGATGGTTAACATATATGACTCGAGTCGGGGACTTTTTCAAATCGGCCCATGCACATGGTCTCAGAATCTGGATATTGCCTTCTGGTTGTCACAGAATGACGACACAATTTTAAAGGTAACATTATTGGAAGTTATTGTCTTTGGTTGTTAACCAATGACAAGAAGCTTTTTTTGTGAGTATATAAAACAGACTATGACTTTGGTATTTCGTCCTCTTATTTAGTACCTGTCCACCTCTCCGAGGGCCGAGCCACCGCACTTTGTCCAGCATATGAAGTCCACTATTCAATTCCTTTTAGACCACCCCAACTCTGAAAGCCTGTTTCCAGGGGGTCAACCACAGTTCTACCACAGGACGGAGACTGGGGACTGGGAGAGGGTTGTCCAGTCATAGAGTCCAACTCTTTTCTCGCTGAACCTTAACCCAGTAGCTGACTTTTTTTTGTCTCTCAGCTCAGTGGGATGCACTGTGACCCTCTCACCTGATTTCTGTTCTGTGTTTATTGTGTCTTAAAATGGAGTTTACTTTACTTGAACATGTATCTGTTGAAATTGCTTTCCTGACTCATCTGGCTGGTCCAGTGGAATGAGTAGAGGCAGTGTCTTTGTTCGTGCCTCTAATAGTTTTTCTCACTTTCAGGACTTCATACGAAGTGTGCTGTACTGCAGCAAGTTCAGGATAAGGTCCTACTGCTTCTTTGTTTTCCCTTTTTAAAGGAAATCATTTACAGTGTCTCACCAGGTGTCCCAAGTGCTGACCTTTTCCACATTATGGGTTCAGTATTAGTCAAGTGTTAGAATCAGTTTCAGATGTGACACAGCTCTGATTGATTACCTCCTCTCCCAAAGCCAGAAGACAGTAGACATATAAAAGTTAAGAAATCAATGTGCAGCAACAATTTCTATCATGTATTTTGATGAACAATTAAATTCTTCATTGTGTAATAGTTAAAGTTTATTTTTTGACTAAAAACACATCTACCGTATAAAAGATATTTTACCATAAGCTATATTCTTTTGCAGACCTGGCTAAGAATGTTTGTTTTACAAACTGCATGTGTACATTTGTATGGTAATCTGCAGTGTGGATGTTATGGATTGTTTTTTAATGAAAGAAAATGCGGTTTTACTAGTTTTGCCTGATAAAAATTTCATTCATGGCCTTTTCATCAGTTGTGTTTTAAGGTGCTTGATAAATTCAGTGTAAATTGTTGGAACTTGTGAACATGCTGTATTTGTTGAGAAATAAAGGTGAATGAGGAAATCTGTTTTGAATGCTCGCATTGTTCAGATCGAAAAATACATTTTTGGTTGATAATTTGCAACAGTTTGCTCAAATGCCATTTGTAAAAAGTGTCAATGTGTTTTATTAGATAAAATGTGTGTGTCTGTGCTCTAGATGCAAATCAGTAAATTCCATTATAATTTTAAAACCTAGAAATCCCTACATGACCAGGTTCCTGCTCCTACAAATCTTCTGAGACATAAATTCCAGCAGTCGGCGCCTCTATTCATCGGATCAGGGCCTTTTTCCGTGATCTAATTTTGAATCCAGAGCAGACCACGTTTTGGAGGTGTTGGCATCTAAACTTTGGAAAGGCATTCTTCCTTCAGTCAGGTAACTTAAATCAATGCTTCATTTTCATTTTAAATTAGCTTTTCCTGCAACATACACAGTAGGTTCTTTGTAAGTATGCCTGTGTGAGTGCATGTACTTATGCTTGAATGTGTGTTTGTGTGTACTTTATGCCTAGGTGTGTACTGTGTGCTGGGTTATGTGCAGTGCTTAGGTTTTTATTTATTTATTTATTTTGAGGGGGTGGGGGGTATCCTAAATGGAAAGCTCCTTGTTAGTGGCTTCAAATGTGCTATACAGACTAAACTGTTACTGTCAGAAGAACTGATGAACTGGGGTCTGACAGTTCACATTTCTTAAAGAATCTGTGTCTTCTGCTGGACTGCATTACACATGTATTGCGGGGAGGCAGTAAATAAAAGTCCTCATTCCTGTAAATTCAGCAATATCTACAGTTGTTTGTGTCACTTTTAGATGAACTTCTTGTAGGATTGATTTGATTCAACTCTTCTTCTTTAGCTGTTCTCCTTAGGGGTCACCACACAGGACCATCTGCCCCACCTTATCCCTAGCATTCTCTTCTGTCACACCAACCCTATTATGGATTAAACTCAATGGAATTTAGTATAATTAGTCAAGTATTTTACTGACTTACCTTTTACTTGACTTTTGCATTGTGCTACTTTTATACCTCTACTCCACTTTATTGTGGATGTAAATCTTGTACTCTGTTCTCCAAACGATTTATTTGAAAGCTTTAGTTACTTATTCTTTTGCTACCTATTAATGTTAGACCGTAATAGATTTAAATTAATATAAAGTTAAAGTTATATACACATTTGTAAAATCGTACAATACATACATACTCCTTCGATCCTAAATATGATCAACCTATCTCTAATAATCGGCTATGTACCACAGGCCTTCAAGGTGGCTATAGTTAAACCTTTACTCAAAAAGCCATCTCTAGACCCAGCAGTCTTAGCTAATTATAGGCCAATCTCCAACTTTCCTTTCATATCAAAAATCCTTGAAAGAGTAGTTGTCAAACAGCTAACAGATCATCTGCAGAGGAATGGCTTATTTGAAGAGTTTCAGTCAGGTTTCAGAGCTCATCACAGCACAGAAACAGCTTTAGTGAAGGTTACAAATGATCTTCTTATGGCCTCTGACAGTGGACTCATCTCTGTCCTTGTCCTGCTAGACCTTAGTGCAGCATTCGATACTGTTGACCATAATATCCTATTAGAGCGATTAGAACATGCTGTAGGCACTACAGGTACTTCACTGCAGTGGTTTGTATCATATCTATCTAATAGACTCCAATTTGTACATGTAAATGGAGAGTCCTCTTCACACACTAAGGTCAGTTATGGTGTTCCACAGGGTTCGGTGCTAGGACCAATTCTGTTTAAATTATACATGCTTCCCCTAGGCAGCATCATTAGAAGACATAGTATCCATTTTCACTGCTATGCAGATGACACCCAACTCTATCTGTCCATGAAGCCAGGTAACACACACCAATTAGTTAAACTGCAGGAATGTCTTAAAGACATAAAGACCTGGATGGCTGCTAACTTTCTCTTAATGCAGATAAAACTGAGGTTATTGTACTTGGCCCTGAAAATCTTAGAAATATGGTATCTAACCAGATTCTTACTCTGGATGGCATTACCTTGGCCTCCAGTAACGCTGTGAGGAACCTTGGAGTCATTTTTGACCAGGACATGTCCTTCAACACACAACAATTATGTAAGACTGCTTTCTTCCATTTGCGCAACATCTCTAAAGTTAGAAATATCCTGTCTCTTAGTGACACTGAAAAACTAGTTCATGCATTTATTACTTCCAGGCTGGACTACTGTAATTCATTATTATCAGGATGTCCTAAAAACTCGCTGAAAAGCCTTCAGCTAACGGTCGCAGCAGATGGCTGCCCCTCCCTGAGCCTGCTCATAGGGGGTCATATGATTGTTGGGTTTTTCTCTGTACCTATGAAGTGCCTTGAGGCGACTTTTGTTGTGATTTGGCAAATTGAAGTGAATTGAACCTTCGTGGATAATAATCATGATCCAGTATTATTATTCTGTATAATAGCTGCATTTTTGGGGTACTTTAATTATATCTTTATGTTTAAACCTTTCTACTACAACATAAGCAGGTTTATGACTTTCACCACTTTGTAAACCTGTTATTCATTAAAACCACAAAACATTTGAAACTGTTGTGTAGTGAAAATGTTCATGCTATGCTGTCTATATTTTGGGCATGGTGCTGCACGCTTTTGTACACTAACTTTCTGCACTGTTTTTTTTTTCCTAATCAAATATTCTTATTTTGCCACTGTGACTACAACTGAAAAACACAGTTGTAATCTCCGTCCTTGGTAGCCTGTGTTATTATAGCCTGTGTTATTATCCCCTGAACGGACCCTGTCAGTACTGCCAGTGATTTTCTGCAGAGAAGATTTAGATTTGAAGTCGAGTCTTTGATCTGTTGCCCTTGAGATGCTGGATATATTAGCCTTGCCATGATGTAAAGAAGACATTATTTGACAGAGAAGCCTTCGCACTTCACGGTCTGGTTGTTCATAAAAGCGTCACTTGAGGTAAGATCCTCGCGGTGAAGCGGACAAATTCCTCTGGACCTTCCAGCCCCGCCCCTTCAACGCTGCTTCTGTTTTTCACGTAAAAGGGGGGCGTAGTAAATTTAAGCAAAAGGAAGCTATCTTTGCGCCGGCTGTCAGTCCAGTCACCAGTTACAGCTGTATGGTGTTTGCCAAGCAAGTATCCTAGCAATGATTTTGTGTTTTTATAGCGTAAATTACACGAGAAACGTAAAGACTCGGTGGTAGGTGAATACTGTTATGTGGAGAGAGTGAAGATACGCGTTTAGCTAGCACATCACAGTCAGTCGTTTTGTGGTTAAAAGGACTTGAAATAGGTTTTTATTTTCACTTCACGGGGTAACGGCAGCTAAAATAATGCTAAAGCTGTTTTTAAGACATGCCCGTCGCTTTCCGTGGGTTACCAACGTGACACTGTACGGCTGCCTGTTCGCCGGGGGGGACTTCGTCCACCAGTGGTTCTCCGGGAGGGAGACCATCGAGTGGAGACAAACACGGAACGTCGCGGTGGTCGCGTTTAGTTTCCATGGCAACTTCAATTTCTTCTGGATGCGTTTCCTGGAGAGGAGATTTCCCGGGAACTCTATCGGGATGGTGATGAGGAAGCTGTTCCTGGACCAGACGACGGCGGCGCCCCTCGCCACCAGTGTCTTCTACACAGGTCGGTGGGCTGTGGGAGGCACAGGCTGGAGGATTTCTGACGGCGGTTAATGGTTAATCTCACAGCTGATCGCCTCTCTGTCCATTTGTAACCAGACCCATGCCCTCTCTG